ATGTGTATAAGAGACAGGGTCTCGTCTCCCCGGGACTGGTCTCTCCCCCACGAACAGTCGCTCTGAAAACAAAAACTCCGCCAGCCTTCTCGCGCGGCCTGCGCCTCGCCCCCCGGGCCTGGCGGTGGGTGCGGTGTAGGCCTCAGCACCATGGATCCCTTTCTGACTCTGCTGCACTCTTTCTCTTCGAGCTTGTCGGACGCTGAGCTTTCTTCCCTGAAGTTTCTCTGCCGAGGGAAAATTGGGAAAAGGAAGCTTGAGTGTGTCCGAAGTGGCGTGGAGCTCTTCAATATCTTCCTCGAGCAGCAGCTGATTGCAAGCGGCAAGGTGGCGTTTCTTGAGGAGTTGTTTGTGAGCATTAAAAGAGAAGATTTGGTCTCGCAGCTAAAGCAGTTCGTAGAGGAAGGAGAAGTTAATGCTCCTGATGATCAACCAGATGCGTATGAAAAGTGTAGGTGGCTTTTTTTTTTTTTAATTTCACATTCTCCCCCCTCCCCAAGCAAACCCAGTAAGTCTGTACGCAGCCTCTCGCTGTGGGTATGCTTTGCTTCGAGCAAACGCAGAGTAAGGCTGCCCTCAGTTGCCAGCTGTAGCTGAGCCCACAGCTAAGGGTGCTTCTGCTACTAACTGCTGCATGGGATTGTGTTGTATCCTGGAAATGTACCGTGAGGACAGCATATACTGCAAACAGCTTTACGGAGTGGAAGTTTCTTACCTTTTTTTATTGATTGGTCACTTGGAAATCGTATTATGTAACTGGTATTCTGAGTATATCCAGTGGCTTTCCAGAACGTGGTGTGACTTTCAGTACGTGCGATGCAGCAAGAGTAGTAGCATTTTGCTAAATAAAACTGAAACAACCGATTTTTAAAAATTGTCTCATTTCTTAGTAAATCCATCACTAACTGGATACATTTATGCCATTTCAGGTCTTCAGAAGGCAGCCATTGAAGTCATATGTGAAAATGTGGGGAGAGACTGGAGAATGCTGATACGCAAACTTGGCCTTTCTGAAGTGAAAATAGACAGAGTAGTGGCAGCAAATCCATTGAACTTGCATGAACAGTTGGTTCAGTCACTTCGAGAGTGGCAGAGATGGAAGGGTAAAGATGCAAAAGTGGCTGACTTAATTAAAGGTCTTCGGGAATGTAATATGAATTTGGTGGCAGACAAAGTTGAACAGAAGCTCTTAACGCTGAACACTGGAACGAGGTGAAGTCAATATAAAAACACTTCCATGTCCCACAGATATGGATGAAAAAAGTAAAAGTGTCTTCTACTCTTCTGAACTAAAATCAGTATCATTGTTTCTGTTACTTACTCTGCCATTAATTTATGTGCCTTAATAGGTTGATTTGCGGTCAGATGAAGTGTAACTTAAAAACAAATTCCTTTCAGGTAATGCTTTGTAGTTTGATGCTTCCTTTAAGAGATTTTTAACTTTTAGAAGACCTAAACTCTATTTTGTAGAAATTCTCGCACATTTGTTCTACCACCCTCCTGAAAACATTTGCTTTACTGCAGGCACTTTTCAGACATCCATGGGATGCTTCTGAGGCAGCTGTAATTTTAAATTTCACAGGTTTGGGGGTTTTGTGGCCTATTACAACTGTAGTGTAAAAGGGAGAAGGAGTAGGCCTATTTGCTGTGTACTGGGTTTTCTTTTTGAGTAGCATAAAATAATATATTCTGTAATTTGTCAAATACATATGCTCTTTGTAAAAGTTTACTAAGATGATGGTAACCTCAGGCCTGAAGACTAGTGCAAGAGGGCTAGTAACTCCTATGGTGTTTTTTTCTTGTGCCTGGGTTGAACTAGTTGAAATGAAATGTCTGTGTCAGGTGCTCTCATCATCCAGAAGATGTTCTCCTGAGAACACATCAGGAGATTGTCAGAGAAATTGTATGCGTCTCACAGATGTTTACAGCAGCCTCTTTTTACTGCCATGAATGTTTTAAGATTCTTTTCCAGGAATCCTTCCATAACCTGTACCAGAGTCTGATCATGTCTGCTGGAAGTTGCAGCTCACCTCATAAGTAAGCTGCAGTTATCTGTGCTCTTGGTAACAAAAGTGTGTACTGTAACAAAAGCCTAGAAGAAAAATTGGTTTCTTTTTAGTGGAGGGGTGTGAAGGCCTACTGAGAGCAAATATATAGTATATTTTTCCCTAGTGATACTGTGAAGATCAGCTTTCTCCACAATTTGTGATCTTCAGAGGTTGCTCCAGATCCAGTAGCTGTTCCAGGTCCTCTGCAACTTTTTAGTTCATTCCTGTTCTTTGATGTTTATGTTTTTTTTTAAAGTGGTTGTAACCAACTCGCAGAGGAAAGAGGATTCATGAACGAGACCAGATTCAGTTTTCCGCTTTAATTTGGAAACAGACCTCAAAAAATGGCCTTCATGCCTAACCTAAGGCTGGAAAAACTGCACAAGCTTCAAGACATGCAGGGCTGTAGAGGCTTTTGGGGACTATCCCCTATGCAAGGGGGGCAAAAGAATCCTCTGAAATCATTATTGCTTGAATGAGTAGGATTGTTTGTTACTGCAAACATCCTTCTAACTACATATATAGATACTTGAAGAGGAGAGGCCTCTTTTTTTTGTTGCTACTGTACCTGTGTGACTTTTAGCTCTTTTCAGGTTCTTTTTACATGGTGCCAATACTGTGAAGGCCAGGTGTCAGCATATAATATACCACTACTCTCTATAAATGTGACATTCACAATTTTCAAGGTTTTGTTGCAGTTGGTGCCTGTAGTTTGGACAATGACACTCGAATATTTGATGGTAGTTAATGGAAACTGTTGTAACGTGGACTTACCTTTTCATTGAGGTTTTTCCCTAAATGTTTCTCACAAGTATTTTTCTAGTCTAGTATGTTAAATAGCAGTGATTGTATCCAAGCAAAGGTGCAGTGGGTAACGCAGAAGTTCCCACTAGTTGCCTTTTGGGCAGGTACAGTTCTTCAAGTACTTACTCCAGTACTTGTCAGTATCAGTTGTTGATTCCAGTCTTCCAGGAGGAGATACAATGCTGTGCTTCAGCTAAATCACTAGCTCAAATGTTTTGGAAGTTTTTGTTTAATAGATATGATCTCCATTCTACAGTATTTAAAGAAAATTATTGCCTCAGACTTTTTTTCCTTGAAGCCTCTAAGCAGTCTTTGTGAGCAAAGTGGAATAGCAGTGAAGTTAGCAAGATGAATTATTTGTGGTGAAACAGCTCTGCAACAGTTCCAAGTTCAATCTGTCTGGTAACATGTTTTTCTTACACTCTAGTAGTAAGTCTTCTGGTTCACAGAACATAGATTTATCTGGGATATGAAAAGAAGTATATTGCCTGCTGCATATAAAAGGATATTTTTAAGAAAAACTTGTTAGTTGTTGCCAAGCACTCATCAGCTACAAGAAATATTCTGCCTCAGAAGATAAAAACCTCTTATTTCTTTAAGGATTTGTACATACTGGATGTTCTACTGTGTATGAAAGCGGTGACCAAGACTGCATCAATCTGTGCGGTACCTCAGGGCCAATTAAAACTGTTTTTATTAGAGATTAAAAAGTTGATTATGTGAGAACAAAATCAAATGGAACAAAATGGAGCAAAGGGAACAAAAATTTTTTATTGGGAGGAAGGATAAGGGAAGGATGCAATTTGTAAGGAAATGTTTTGTGATCTAATTAGCAATTTCTTTTCAAAGTTTTGTGAATTCAAATACATGTATTTTTGTAACTTGAATTATAGTTTTGTATAAATTTTGTGCACATTTAATTAAAAAAAATCCTTAAAGGGAATGGAACTGGTTTTTTATATTATGGATTGCTGTCTATGATGACATGTCTAGTTGGGAGAAGCTCAATGCTTTTAAAGCAAGCAGTGGTGCTAAACAGGCCTTATGTTACCAATGTCCTTCTTGCAACATTAAAAAAAAAAAAGGCAAAAAAGATTTGTCATTGAGTTTCTCAGAAGTACTAAAAAGGCTATAGCTTTCCTAGCAGTAGTAGCATTTGAATGCTGTCACTCAGAGAAGTGTAAGGAAAAAAAATTTCTCTGCCAGCCCTCAGGAGCCTAAAACTGAGTCGCAGTGCAGCGTCTGCATGGAAGATAGGCCTTCAGTGAGTAAGTGCCTTACAATTCTCTTCTCTGGTAGTCATGCTGTGGTATGGATGTTGTATTTGTTCTATAATTAATTAAAAATGTAGCTTATGGCTTATTCTAAACCTGTTCAGGCTTTTGGAGGAGGTGTTCAGAAGTTAAATTGGTAGAGGCTTCGTTGTTCTGTGAAGCACATACTGGCACTGAAGTGTTAGCATGCACTTGAAGCTTTGAATGTGTAACAAAAGTAATTTAATTACCCATTTTACTGAATACTACTCTGCAAGAGTATCTGCCTGTGAGGAATTACTAAAACCTTTTCCTCTTGGTCTCTTGAGAGTCTTGTTTCCTTACAGCCTTTAGAAAACAGCACATCAAAACGTGGGGAGTAAAATGTGTCATGTCAGGAGAATTCTCAGTTTTGGAGGATTGTTTCTCCATGTCACTTCACATGTCCTTGCAGTACTTGCTTGTCATTTCCTATGATTTTTGAATATATCAATTATATATCCTATATTAAGTGGGGGGGTTTTAACTGCATTATTTTCATTATTGAGTTAAAGTTTTCTAGACTTCTAATTAAAAATCCTTTTATACAAATTGGTTGTCAGGAATATTTCAAATGCAATCCTTCGCTTTCCTTTTCCTCCATTCCTCACACACAGGCAGCTTTATGTCCTTCAGCCTTTGCTTCAGTCCTAAAATAATGGGCTACTTTCTAAAATTTAATTGCTTCACTTAAGCTTTCTGCATTAGAAAATTAATAACATATGCTTTATCTCCTAAGTTCTCTCTGGCACTTAGCATGTTCAGGCTTTTTGAGTATTTTTCAATTGAAATTTATTCTTAGTCGCTGTCTTTGTTTCTTTCACGATTATCAAAAGGTGGTTTGTGCTGTTCCTCCTGTTCCCTCCATAGATAACCTATGTACTTAAAATGTGTTTCAGCACAGAAAATATGTTTCTAAGTTGTTTTCCCTCTTTGATTTATTATTTCTTTTCTCTGCCACTGTTTTTATTGAAGGATGCACTGGTAGAATTTTTAGAAACTAGTTCACTCAACCATATACCAGAAAAATAGGAATTGTGGTGGTGGAATGAGGGGTAGAGGTAAGGGTTTCAAGTAAAGGTTCAAGAACATTTGAAGAATCTGTATTCATAAGAGATTCCATAGCTGAGGATTGCTTAACATTAAGAGGGTGTGTTGCAATGGGTTCTGGGAATAGTAGGTTTACAGACAGGGAAGCACAGCCTTATTCAGCTGCCGGGAAAGTGCAGATTAATGTAGGCTTCTGCGTGGGAATCTGTGTGGAGCAAACTTACAGGCATCTTAATGATTAAACAGGCATAAGTTTCCTCCACAGCTATTTCTGCTACTGGTTCCTTCTTGAGAGCATTACACATTCATTTCTTAAAACAGACTAAAACTAAAATAACACATCTTTGTTCTTGTAAAATTTTTTGTAATATGTGTTATTCAAATAAGTTGGTAACACTGACTTTAAATTTGGCAATTCCTGTGATTTGATTAGTGTTGGAAGTTGAAAACTTTTTTGTCGCTTTCGAAATACGCCATGCGTACAGTTCTTGTGTGGATGGTGACATAGCCTTCCTTTCTTTCAGCTTGGGGTTTAGTTTATTGAATAAAAGGGTAATGCTGTGTTTGTGGCAGGTCACAGTACTTAAGACAGCTTTCAAAGTAACCGGCTATTGTAGCAAAGTTAAGGGTTTGTATCTCTTCTCTAAGACTGAAGAGATTGATATAGAAAAAAACTCCACCTCTAAAAGAGGTTTTAAGGATTACATCTCCAGTTCTCCAGTACAATGTAGTAAGTACCTTTGCTAAGGAAAACAGCTTAATGTCAGCTTTGTGTGTCTAATGCTTAAAAAAGTTAGCAAACTGGCATTTTTTATTTACTCCATAGGGTTCAAACCTTCAGACCAGGCCCTTGTACTGTGTGAAGTTACATGGAGATAAAATTGGGCCATTGTCATCAGAGATGTAAAAAAAAAAAATAAATCCAGATGTAAAAAACATCCAACATATTTTCTGTGGTAGCCGTTTTATTTACAGGTGAGCCTGGTTTTATGAAACTTATGTAAAGCAATAATCTTGCAATTAAAAATGCTAACAATTTTTATAATGTTTTCTTTTCCATTTCCTAATTCTGTTATTCTATTGATCCCAGCAGGAGAAGTAACTTCAAAAAATAATTTGCAGGATTTAATCAGTGAGCATTTCTTATTGTAGTCTTTTAAAAGGGTTTTTAAAGGGCCTTTTAAAAGGGTGTTGTAGTATTTTTAAAAGGGGTTTTTAACTTTTAAGAGGGTTTTAACAGCTATTCTGTAAGTGTGCACATTACCTGTGGCAAAGATTGTCCAAAGGGATATATGAAGACTTCATGTCTGTACAAAAATTGATAAGTGATTTTTGTATGCAAACCTGGTATCAGATTTTATATAGAGTGAACATATAAAGTGTGAGTAATTTTTGGTATAAAAAATGACCTACTAAAACTTTCTTGTTGTTAATGTCAGTATGCGAACAACTGAGCTAAATGATTGTCGTCTTTTCCCCACCAGTGGTCTCCCTGCGAGATGCTTCCTGTCTCTTCTAGGCATATTGCCAACTTTTGAAAAAAAAAAAAAAAAAAGTTGCAGAGAAAATGTGAATTAAAAGGGTGTAGCACCTGGCAGGTCTGGGCCTATGATTTCTGGGACCCACATCCTGTATATTTTTATGTTATGCTCAGTGTAAGCAGAATTTAGTCACAGCTTTCCTGGCTGCAAAGTCCCTAATGTGGGAAACCCTGGATAGCCTGAATTACCCCCAAAGCCATTATTCCCATGGCAGCTGCCGGGCACAGCAGTACATGGGGCATGTGGCTGCAGCACCCCATCTTCTGGCTGTCCTAGCCGGCTGAATAATGTTTGGAAGTTGTTACTAATTGTGAGATTTGCTGCAGTCTCCAGTCAATGACCATGTCAAACATCCAAGCTGTGAGTGCAGGAATGTAAAATGACATTTCTTGACTGAACTATCTCCTTTTGGTTCTACTGCCCCACTGGGACAGAGCACAGGGATAGACATTAAGAAATTTACTTTCAACTTTTTTCTAACCAACAGCTTAGCATGTGGTGCTTCCATTTCTGTATACAGCTTCAGCAATAAAATTCAAACCTGTGTCTAACTGCATGTTTGT